CCAAAGTTTGTTTTCAATAAAGAATTTAAAGGTTAAGACCCAGGGAAAAATAACAAGATTTAAGGTGATTTAGAAAGTCACCCAACTTTGCCAAAAAGTTTCATAAAAAAAAGCATGTTACAGTTTGTTAATTAAACATTTTGAAAAATCAGTCGCTTTGAGCGTTTTGGAAATTTTCTGTGTGTTGTTTCTTTTCCATTTTTAATACGATCACCTCCTGTTTGGCATTTGACAATTGATGGGCCGCACATTTGTCTTTCACTTGTCGCCTTGCCGTCTTGTCTTGCACCTTCATCAGCCATCTCTTTCATTGTGCGACTACCCCTCTCTCTCTCTTGCCGTCGTCTTCTTTCCCTTTCTCGCGGGATCTTTTGAAGTGAACCCGTTTTGACAAATGTGTGTCATTGCTGGGCCATCAAAAGACACGATCGTTGGAGTCTTTTGCTCTCCGAATTCGATTTTGTTTGGCAAGGTAAGGTGTATTTTTGGGCCATTAATGCTGCCGCAAACGGTAAAACCGAATCAAGTGACTGGCAATCTGAAGATGATCGTCGTCATCATCGAGATCAACAAAAAAGCATTCGAATTCGATGCCAAAGTAACTTTCAATGAATGGAAATTCATTGAGTGAGTGGATTTTTGGGTACAAAAGATACCAGCCATCCACTTCTATGGAACTTAAAGATGTTTTCTAAATTAGTTTGTATATAGGTTTGGAGAAAAGACTTTGATCTGTTGTATCTTAACACCGCTGACAGTTCCTTTTTTTTTGGTCTATTGATCCAAATTTCCGCGTGGATTCTATACAATTTTTTTTTGGGACACATCTCTGTGACACATTTGTCGCATTTCTCGAAAATGGAAAACGCTCTATTGAAGCCATTACGTAAATGATTCCAATAAACAGTCCGGGGCATGATTTTTTGGTGACCAAAATGCGACAGGCAACAAGCTCTAAATGAATGTGTGGGGATTTCTAACAACTCTCATTGTGGCGACAGCGATGAAATTCTTTAAAATGCCATCGCATTTTGAAATTCTTTTCCAAAAAAACGCACACGAAAGAAACCATGGCGGCGACAAAGATATTCAAATTATACTCTAATGTTCAGCGGGTGAACTTACTTTATCATAGGGTTAAAACGACAAGATTGATAGCCTGACTTTGTATTTGTGTCTTATTTAACTTTATTACTTATACACTTTTTTGCATTTTGGTTTGCTTATTGCTAAAAATAAAAATCTACTGATTATAAAATCAACCAAATAATATTTTAAAAAAAGTAATTATGCATAAAATTGGTGTCTATCAAAAAGGGTAATTTACAGTCCAGAATTGCACTTATTAAAAACCTAAAATTCATGAACAACAAATAATGGTTTACTATTTTAACTGTTAGAATAATACTCAAAGGTCCAACATATAAATACATAGTTATTTTACTATTTAAATTATTTTATTAATTTAATCTCAATAATTATAACATTATTTAATTTAATTTAATTATAATACTGTTCAACGGCCCAAATAAAACGAAATAAATTACTCTTATGTGATTACCAAAGGTTAAAAATCTTCTATTTTGTGTTAACTTTAGAAATGTTTTTTTTTTCTGTGTGTTTTTTTCTGTTGCTACATTTTAAAAAAATTTGTGATAAGCTCATTTGAGGGTATTTCTCTATCGACTTTATGATTTACTCCTGCTTCTAAACGTGTCTCGAAATTAGGAGGAGAATTTCCCAACATTCGGTTTTGCATTATTTCAGAGGCCATCAGCGGCGACACGGCGGCCGAAAAGATCGCCACAATTTTCATTTAATTTTCGGTTGGGAGATGTTCTCCGAACCACAGCCCCCGTATTAACCACTAGCATCCCATCCCCCGATTTCACGGAGTAGTTGCGTAGGTGTCCGGCTTGTCCGTCTTGTTCGTCTTGTACGTCCGGGTGTGTCAACTGCTGCTGAAAGATTTTCGTGTCGTTGTTTCCATCCCGCCTGCCAGCAGACGACAGACATGAATTCTTTCGACAAGAAAACATATTTCGAAAACTTTTCTCCGTTCTTTTAATTTTTATTTTTTTTTTATATATATCGTTGATATTTTCTTCGTGGTGTCGCGGTGCGTACGTAAAAAGATTTAGCAATAGCAATGAATTTAGTTAATTTATGGCATTATTAATAACACGTAGAAGAGAAAAAACCAGGGGAAAAAATATAAAAAACAGAGAGCTCACGAGTTTTTTTAAAACAACTATGTAGTATGATGCAAACAATGAGAAGTAGCGGAAATACTCTTACTAATTAAAGAACAAGAGTTGCTATTAACTAGAATATTTTAAGTATATAAAATATTATGAAGAATATGTAAAAGGGAATTTAAAAAATTGCACAATTTTACAGTGATGGTTGTTAGTCAAATATATTTATTTAAAACCCCAGCGTTTAGTTTAGATAAAAAATAAGTTAACTCATAACTTAAACGCCCATTAGAAAGTGTATCAGTTTAATGCGCAATCAAGTCATGAGACCATTTAAAAAATGTTCTCCACATGATACATATTTGTTGTTTGACAATTTGGATTCGCAGAGAGATCTCATTAGGGGTATATTCATTTGGAAGTCTTCGCACAACAAGATGCAAACAATGGAGAATTTCACTGGGTCAGCTTAGTTATGCGGAGATTATTGAATGATAGCTAGGCCAAAGCCATAAACATTTGGGCCTGTGTGTATCGATGTTTGTGAATGGCACGAGCTCAACATCAACCTGCATAAAATGCAAATGAGCCCGACAAAAGACGGGCCCGAAACCCCCAAAACCAAACAAATTTACGACCCAATCAATAGACTTCGAAATGCTGTTTTCAGCCTTTGTTTCCCTCTTTTTTTCTTTTCGGTTTGTTTGAACCTCAATAACTTTAAGAGATTTCTGGTTTTCTACGTTTCTACGGCCAAAGGTGTTCCAACGGCCCCACCGAAATTTACATTAATTTGTGAGCAAAGTATGGCATATTATGCAAATATTTAACAGACTCCCAACCTCTGGCATTTCCCCTAGCAACTGATTAAAGAACGGTTTTGGGTATTTAATAAACTTAAGACTCTGGATCCATATATACCCAGTGCCTGTTTCAGTTGGAAACGCCACTGATCCGAATCTGTTCGAGTGATTTTTCAACTAAACGATAACCCAAATGACTCGCTTTCCAAATCAGGCGCCTAATCAGTGTTATTTAGCAATGACTTAGCTAACATTTACCACTTAATAGTCCCAAGTCGAATCGTCAAAACAGACGCGCATTCCTTGAGGGCAACTTTGAACCTGAAGGTGATAAGAAATTTCGCTGACTAGAAACTATTGAAAGTGCTAAATAGATCGGATCATTTAAGTTGCTTAAATATCAAAAAACATGAATGAGTAGCTATAGAGAGCTATGTAGAGAAAATTCCCCCAAGACTTCAAGGCAAACGCTAAATTTAGCCAAAGGTTTATGCTTTTTCGATGTCAATTTATTATTCAAATTTATGACGATATTAACACGAAAATCGGAATAATACTTTTACGCATTTGACGTTTTTATGGGCCACCCCCAAAACCCCTTTCACCCCTTTCACATTTCCCTCCCAAAGAAGACAACTAAAAAAGATTTGTACCGATTCTTATGCGAGGAAACGTTTGAAAATGAAGTCTCTTTGCTGTGTTATTTATTGCATAATTATAGGAAAAATGGCGAGACAACAAAGTAAAAAGATTATCGCACATCTTGACCCCAGAAATAAAATATATTTCGGTTTTTTTTTTCTCTCTGCTGGTTTTGTTTTCGAGATTTCTCGCCGAGCCCCAAAATTAAATTTTTATAAGCAGATGAAAAATGCCATAAAATCACATATGCATATGTATTAAGTGGAAACGTGTAATTTGCATAAAATCACCTGATTGAACGTTAAATATTTTTTAAGATTCGGATTATGGAGCCGAGAAATGGTCATAAAGTTAAGCATCAGACGACTCTACAATAAAATTGGGAGAAGCACACTGAAAAAAAATGTCCCAACCCATTTAGAAACTATCTATCTTATATATAACAAATTATAGATTTTTCTCAGTGCTGGACGACGAAATCAAACAGAAGAAGAGCGGTTGACCAAGTTGAGAGCACCTGACTCGATATTCAACAAACATAAATATTTGCATAAATTAACCGAATAGTTTTTAAAGCTATTTTACATTTTTAATGAACAACAACAAAAACTGTCTTAGGCAGTATAAAATGATTTGGTTTGATCGCTTTTTGTTTGTTTTTTATTTCCTCGATTTATGTGCAACGGCGATATAAATTAGAATTTTATGACATTCAATGGGGCATGGTTAAGAGGAAAAATGTGTCAACTCTGAGAACAAAACGAAAAGAAGGTCGCAACTAATTAATGTTTTGGATGTTGCACAGAATAAAGGTTCCCGAATTCAATAAATAAAATGAAAATGTGTCAACATTAACGAACATGAAAAAATTTATATTTTAATAATTAGTTATAATTAATGGAAATATGAAAATTTTTGGCAGGCCCAAAAGTCCAATAAGGCTTTCTTAAGTTTGGCTTAAATTTTATTTTAAATACAGAAACATTTTTTTTATTGCAAGTAAATTAAATATTTAATAATAATATATGATCTCAGATCTAGTGCATTTAATAAATATATTTAGCATCAAATTGTTTGTAAAAAGTCCATTTCAGCAGAATTACGTTTTTAATAAAAAAAGATATATGTTTTGAACGGTTTTTTGTGTAATTTTAAATTTATATTTGTGACAGGAAACTACCCGCCTGAAAGAGACAGCATTACTTCACTTGAACGCATGACAAATTGTTGCTGTTTATTTCGCACTTCCGTTTCCGCCCACGCTTATCTAGAGCAGAGCAAGAACCTATCGATACCTTCTATCGATACTCTCCAGTGCTGGAAACCCCTCACAGCTGCTGCTATCGAACCACTCGATAGGCAATCGATAGCCACGAACCCGTCTCTTTAATTTTTGTTTTGATTGGATTGGATTTTGGCAGGGATTAGCATGGATGATCCGCTCAAGCCGAAGCCAGTGCCGCTGGCCGCCGAGACGGTGCTATGGTTCGAGTTCCTGCTCGATCCGCACAAGATCACGCAGCACCTGCAGCGCCCGCATCCCGGTAAGCTGGGAATCACTTGTGGAATCTTTTCTGATTTTTTATGCTTTTCCCGGTCATTTTTGCAGAGCCCAGCGCCATGGAGCTGATCATGCAGTTCATCAGCATGACGCCGGACACGGCGATGGCATCGGTGGTGACGCCCGGCAGCGATTTGCAGGTGCCTCCCGGTGCGGGGCCCATACCCGGAGGAGCACCCACCACGCCCACTGCCACCGGCGGCGTGGGCATGCCCCACAGTCCACAGAGGCCAGCAAGCCAGGAGAATGGTGGTGGTGGCAGTGGTGGTCTGCAGCTGACCAGGAAGCAGCTGGCCCTCAAGATCCTGGAGCTCAAGGTGGCCACCTGGCTGAAGTGGGACCTGGATGCGCTGGAGAAGAACCTGCCTGTGATTATGCAGCTGGCCCTGCTGCGCGATCTGTGCACCATAAGCTACGGCTGCGCCTTGAGTATTCCCCTGCCCAGTGATTTTGACTTGAAGATTTGTAAGGTTACCTAACCAACCTCCTCCAAGTATCGTAATAATCTCTGTAATCCTCTCTAGCCACCGCTGGCAACGAAAAAGCGGCAAGATTTGCCCTCACCATATACCACCGCCTGTTGCTGCGTCTGCAACTGATCAAGGAACAGGCACTGAAAACGCCACGTCCTCCAAATACCATGTATCAGACTGTGGACCAACTGCAGCAGTTCCTGGACTCACCCACCCAGCCATCCATCGAGTACTTGCAGCAGCTCTGCTCGTCGGCCAAACCCTTCTACGTGTTCCACTACGACAGCTTTGTGACGCTGCAGTGCGATGATCTGGGCACGGGCCAGAACTACGACCTGATGCATTTGATAACGCCCCAGGAGCTGAGGGCCCAGCTTCATTACGAGCTGGCCCAATATTACCTGTACACCAAGCAGTATGTTTTGGCCCGGGAAGCGGCCGCCGCCTGCAGCAGCAATCTGCAGGCCATTCCGCCGCAGACGACGCTCTATTTCTGTCACATACGAGCGGCGGAGCTGGAGGGCTTGCTGCAGGCCTGTGGAATCAGCGCCCAGGAGCAATCGCTTCTGGAGAAGTTTCAGCAATCTCTGCTCAACAGCTACACAGACATTGTGCCCATCCTGCGGTTGGACAATAGAGCACGGGAAATCCCTCTGGTAAGCCGAAGACAACTGGAGCTGGACATCGAGGGCTCCCTGTCCACGGGATTGCTCAAGGAAACCGTGCAGTTGCAGCTGCAGGTGGCCGCCCTGAATGTGGTGCGCAACATCTTCGAGTGGGGCAGCATATTCGGCAGTGTGGAGTACTTCGAGAAGTACAGGGAACTGGACTGCCTGCCGCCGCTGGTCGAAGCTCTGCAAGAGGTACTGCCCCACTGCAGTCCCAAAGAGCAGCCGGCGCTGAAGCACTTCCTCATCGACTGCCTGCTGCATCAGGGTGGCGGGCAGTCGCGACCATTGCTGCAGACGGTGCGCGGCATTGGCCTCTTCTCGGCCGATGAACTCCAGGATCTCGACGAGCAAATGCTGCAGGCGGCGCCGCCAGTGCCCACCAACTCGCTGGCCTCGCTCTCCGACTGGATGTGCCACTCCAAAAGTAAGGAGCTCAGAGTACAAACCATTGATATTTACATAATTAACTTATGATTACCAACTTCTAGTGAACCGTGTGGATGTGGGTGCCTTGGAGCGACAACTGATTAGCTGCACCAATGCCAACACAGTGCGGATTCTGCTGGTAAAGCTGTGTGGCACTGCGCCCGGCAAACCCCTGTGGGCCATAAATCCCAGCTGGGATGTGCCGCAGCCCCTGAAAACTCTGATTATGGCCATGCCCGTGAGCTTCCTGCAGGACTTTAGCTATGTGCTGCTAGGCAAGGCGCGAGAATTGGCCACCAGGGGCAACTACATAGACGCCGTTTCCATGCTGAGTGTGCTGAAGTCGGAAACGCAGCGCCAGGAGATGGCGGCCAATGTGCAGTTGATGTGCAAGCTGCTCACCTGGGAAATCCTGCACATCCAGATAACTCAATGCCTGGAGGAGTGGCACCAGAAGCCGCTGGATCTGCAGGCCCTGGGAGGAAGATGCAAACAGTGTTTGGGAGCACTGCAGGCGGGTGATTCGATGGTCCCACGGCCGGACATCCTGGAGAGCTGCGCCATCATGCTGCTCAACCTCACGGAATTCCCACCGCTCCTCTACCTGGACAAGCGGGCTGGTCCTCTGGAACTGCCCCTCGCCTTTGCCGCCACGTTCATCGAGATGGAGAAGATGAAGGGCCCCAAGAAGGTGTGTCGCGATGCCTGGGAGCTGATGCTGAGCATGTTCCTCAACGTCCCGAAGCGGGGCTCCGCGGGAGTGGGCGGGATCAGCTCGCTGCAGGCCTTTCTGCAGCGCATACGCCACCAAAGCGTCTTCGGACTGGCCATCTCCATGATTGGCAAGATCCACAATATCCTCAAGGACGATCCCAATCATGATTTAAGCTGCGAGTACATGCAGCTGTGGCCCACCAGCATTAACAAGTGAGTAGACTGGAGCACGTCGTTTAAGAGGGCATTCTTATTTAAATCAACTTTGCAGCCCCATTAGCTACAGTTTGAGAAGCGTGTGCGAGATCCTGCAATGGCTTATATCCGAGGCCTTGTCCTACTATCCGCAGACCATTTCCTGGCTAAAGATGAAGGGAGATCTGGACCTGGCCATCGGCAACAACGAGTCCGCCATGCGCTGCTATGTAAATGCATTGGTCACTGGCACGGACTACTGCACCATGCCGCTGCAGCGGAATGTGGCCGATGACTATGTCATCCGCAAAATGATTCGGTGTGCCGCCAATCTGGGATGCCACATGCAGGCCACCGTGCTGTGCCAGTTTCTCGAGGAGATCGACTACGGCATTGTGTTCAAAAATCTCAGCGAGAAGTCATCGAACTTCACGGACGCCATGGATGCGTATTACAGTTGTATTTGGGACACCACATTGCTGGAGTTCATTGTTAATCTGCATGCGAAACGAGGCGAACATAGTCGGAAACTTGAAGCGGTAATACTTATTTAACAACTAATTAGTTGTTCCTTGTAAACACATGCTATAATCCTTAAAACAGATCTCTATGATGGGCACTTTGGAACTGAATGCGAATAACAACGAGGAGATCAAACGAGAGTGCGCCATGGTGCGAAAATCACGATTCTTACGCGCCCTCGCCAAGCAGTATTTGCTGTAGTCGCAGCAGCCCCACCCACAATCCAACCTCAAATTCGAAATCCAATATCGATAATCCATAAACCATAATCAATATTCAATAATCCAACTTCCCAACCACAAGCAGACCAACTAGAATTAAGCTCAAAGATGTAGTTTTTATTGTATGCATAGGCTTTAAATACGTTTAAGTTAAAATTAAAGAATTGTACGTTTTTCCAAACGACAAACAGTGTGGCTACTTGGGACGCCTGCCACGCCCACCGCCTCCGCCGCTGGTCTTGGCCTTCTTGTTGTTGGCACTCTTCTTGGCCTCCTCGGCCTTCCGTTTGGCGGCATTCGTGGCATTCGGAGTGCTGGGCAGGGTCTTAAAGAAGCTATAGAGTCGCACCTGGGTCTGGGCCTGCTTGGATTTCACCAGTTTCTTGGCCCCGTTGCGAACGCGCTCCTCGCTGAACTGTCGATCGCCGCAGAGGAACTTGACCAGCCCCTCCTCGTCAGGCTCCACCCACTTGAGGTCGATGTCCTCGGCATTGGCCACCTCTGGCTCGATGAAGAGTTCCCGCGCCACCTTGTAGTTCCAGTTCTCAGGCACCGTGTACTTGCTGGTGTCCAGGTTGTCCAGAATGGTCTCGATATCCCTGTAGTTATTGATCAACTCGATGGCCCGCTTGGGCCCAATGCCCTTGATGCTCTCGCAGTAATCGCAGCCAAGTAGGATGCACAGATCGATGAATTCGCGGCTGTTGATGGACAGACCCTCGAGCAGCTTCTCGTAGCTGAACTCCTTGACGGGCATCTTTCGCGCCTCGCTGTAGGTGAGATATCGCAGGAGTTTGGTGGATCCAAAGGTAAGCGCATCCATATCCTCCGTGGCAGTGGCATAGACCTTGCCTGCCTTGACGAGAGCCGCACACTGGGCCTCCGCCTCGCAGGGTGCATCCACATAGGGCACACCCATCAGCGTGAGCAGCTCCTTGGCCTCCTTCGCGTGCTCCTTGGTCACTCGCACCAGTCGCCGGTTGAACTTCTCGATCCCCGCATCATCGCCAGCATCGGTGGCCGCCTTCAGGGCCTTCTCCGCCTCCTCCCGCCGCTCGGCGCGCTTGGCCAGCTCCCCGGACTTTAGATCCGGCGGTTTGCCATCGAACACGTACACCGGCTTGATCCCATTGTCCAGCAATCGAATGGTGCGGTAGAACATGCCCATCAAGTGGGACGTGGGGTCCCCGTTGACGGTGGCCAGCTGGGCGCCCTCGGAACGCACGGCGATGAGGAACTGGTACAGGCACATACTGGCATCAATGGCCACCTTGCGGCCTTTCAGAATCAGGAATAGAAATCAAATAATGTTCTATAAATAACGATATGTGCAGAACCACTTCCAAAGACAGTGTCTTAAACACCAGCCAAACATAGGAACTTCAAAGGGTAAAAAAAATTCAACCCAGAAGTTGGCATCGTCCCAGCTCCAGCTTTTCTTAATATTATTATTAAGTTTTCACTTAAAACCATAGAAAAGCATATATGTAGGAGCACTCACCAAAAAAGTTCTTAATTTCACTTTCGCGAATTGCTTGTGGCGCCAAATCCGCAATGAGCTTGGATAAGCCCAGAATTCCCATGATGATTAAGTGTTTACCGATCAGTTGAAATTAGTTTAATATAAAGTTAAAGTAAATTGTTTTGTTTGCAAAAACACGCCGCGCGCTTTTTTTGGCAATAGTGTGACCGTCGTGATAACAAATAAAATACCTAAGCAGTAATACCGATATATCGACGGCTTTTTGTTTTCGATGGCAGAGCTGCCAGGTTGGCATATTATAATTTTTGTTTTTGTGGCTGCATTTTCATATAAAATTTCAGAATCAACCAAATTGCTAAAATTTGGAAAATCCAACGAAAAATTTAAGAACTTTAGGGAACAACCAACCATTTATTGTGTTAAATTTTTAAGCAGCTGACCCTTGTATAATTTAATAAATTTATTTGGTTTATTATTTCTAGAAAAACAACTAAATTTATACCAATATAGAGAATAATGCCAGAAGACAGTAATTATTTAAATTTATTCGTTTTTGAAGGCTAATGTTTACTACTGTTATGATACAAAGTGTCAACAGCATTATATAAGTTGACTTATATGCATTAAATTCAATTTTAAGTTGCTGTATTTATTCTGGGCCATTAGAAAACAACCCAGTTAAAAAGCCCGCCAAAATCATACAACCGAAGAAGCACCCTATTTAAAGCCTGGTATTTTTTAGTACCTGCCGCTTGCGATACTATCGATTGTGACACCTCTTCTAGTGACCAGATTGAATGTGTGTCGGCTGACGGAAAAACAGAAAAACCATTAGAAATATGGTATGTAAATAGGTGAAAAATGTGGGAAAAGGCGTTGGAATGTCTATGCCGGCGGGACAGATTGAAAACGGCGGGATAACAAGCGAGTTTTGTGTGTAAATAAAGCGCAACAAATTCTCGGCCAACGAACGGAGCCAAAAGTGCCCGACTATCGGTTCTCTCCCGCGTTCGTTTGTGTGTATAAACATGGCGTCGTTGCGGCTCGAGATAGCAAAATCAACGAGTGCGAGCGAGATGGGTAGTGTGTGCGTTTGCCTCATAGATTTGCAATGTTGTTTTTTCTATCACCAACTCTCTTGCTTTCTCTCTCTCTCGCTCTTTCGCTGGTTTCGTGGAGAAGACACGCATACACAAACTCGCCAAAGAAACGCACACAATCGTATTGCGATTAAAAACGCACCAAAATCCATGGTAGTGGCCGCCAAAAAATTAGCAAGTGTAATTCAATTGTGACTTTGTATCTTTCCATGATATCGATATTGCCGCAACGAAAGGATGCTAACAAAGCGACAGAAACGGCAGCCAAAGAAAACGCCGCCGATAAGGTAAGCGAGGTGGAAAATGCAACTGCCGCAGCGGGGGAGGCAGCGAAAGTCGAAGGGGGCCCCAAAGATGCAGCCGAACCCCCTGCAGCCGCCGCTGAAGTCGACGCCACTGCGGCCGCCACTGATGACGACGCTGATAAAAAAACCAAAGGAGACGCAGCAGCGGTTGTTTCAAATACCGAATCAGATGCAGGTAAATAAAAGCAGAAAACCTGGCCATGTGTGCGTGTGAAGAACGAGAGAGAAAAACAAAAATCATGAAATGAATTTGCGCGCGTTTCAAAAACGCGGTCTGTCTCTCGCTGTCGGAAAGCTCTCTTTTTCTCTCTATTCCCCACTTTCTTGATGGGATTCAGCTACTTGTTGGGAGAGCTCCGATGTGGCTTTGCGGTCTAAAGCGTCGTTCTCCGTTGTTTATTATGCTGCTATGCTATGTTGGCATGCGGTTCGATTCCCTCTCTGGGCAAGAGAAAGAATGTTTACTTACAATAAAAGATTATTTCTCGAAAACGATCAACAATTTCACTTTTCCTTGGCTATTGTTCATGCTAAATCCTTCAAATGGGTTCTGCGTAGTAAATGCCGAGGTACAGCAAAACTTCAATATTCATAGTTCCTTGCGCTACCAAAACAAATTAGCATTGGACTTCCCAAGGTTGAAGATATTTTCAATATTACACTTTATTTTTATTAGTCACATGTTATTTAACTTTTTTTTTGTAATATTTTACTAATTTTCTTTTTTTTGTATCTTATTTTTTTTGTTTAAAACAATTACTAACTACCTTAATCTGTATTGATGTTTATTTATTTTTACCTACAATAATTCTAGTTAAAGAAGAAAGAAATAAATAAGTACCTACTGAACTTGATATTTCATTTATGAACACAGCTGCAGCGGACAAAAAGGAGAAATCCCCTTCGCCGGCGGTGAAGAAATCCAATAGTAAGGATGCTAAAAAGGAGGAGGATTCCGAAAAGGAAGACGAGAACACGGAGGATGGCGATGAGCCGGAGGAGGACGATGAGAAAGCCAGTGATGAAGAGGGAGAGAAAAAGAAATCAAAGCCAGAAGCAGAGGACAAGAAAAAGGATGTCACAGATGAGGCCAAGCCAAAGTCCGGAGCGGAAAAGGCGAAGAAACCGGAGCCTAAGGCCAAGAATGGCAAGGTTGCCAAGGAAGAGGACGATGAGGAGGAGGATGATGATGAGGATGCTGGAGATGCTGACGGAGACGAGAACGATGGCTTGGACAAGAACAATGAGGTGGCCGAGGATGATGAGAATGTCGTGGCTCTGGCTGAGATTGATCGCATCAACGAGAACATCAACAAGACTCGAGTGGATGGCCTTCAGACCTTGCATGCAGTAAGTTCACTGAAACCTTATCCTTCAAAAATTTCCAAATAACTTTCCTTATACTTTTCAGCTCTGCTTTGGTGCCCAAGGCAAGAACAATGTGGTGAAGAAAAACTTGCGCTCCTTTGCCGGCTTTGAGTTTGCAAAGGATTCAGCGGAGTACAACAAAAAACTGGAGGCCATCAAAAAGGTGGACAACAAGGGGCTGCGCAGTATCTGCGAGATCCTTACCCTTGATCGCAAGGGCAGCAAGAACGAGACTGTTTTGCGAGTGCTGAAATTCCTAATGGAACCCGACGAATCGCTTTGCTTGGAGCAAGGCGACGAGGAGGAGGAAGACCCCGAGGAAGAGGATCTGGATGAGGAGGAGGAGGACCCGCCCAGCGAGGAGGACAAGAAGCGCAAGAGCGGCAAGTCAAGCGGTGCCGCTGGTGGTAGAGGCTCGGCTCGCAATTCCACTGGACGTCCCAGACGATCCACGGCAGGAAAAAGTAGGTGTATCTCAATGGTTAAGAGTACTTAGCAATATATAACCATACATCGGGCTCTACTTGCAGAAATGTCCGCATATGTAGATTTCTCTAGCTCTGAGGAGAGCGAGCAGAAAGTGGCAGTGCCCAAAAGGAAACGCAACGATGACTCGGAATCGGGCTCAGATGTAAGTATGCTTTATTGAGAAACCAAGAACCAAGGATTGCCTGACATCTACTTTCTTTGTTTTAGTACAATCCCTCTGGCAATTCCGATTCTGATGCCGGCCGTGGTGGTGGCGGCGGTGGTGGTGCTGGTGCAGCAGGTCGCAAAGTCCCAAGTCGCGGTCGTCCGGCGCGCAAAAGTCGCCGAAGAAACTCCGATTCCGAGGAAGAAGAGGAATCCGAAGTGTCCGAAGCCGATAGTGATGTAGGTTTCTCTGTTAAACTATTAATAATGACCCATGTAATCTTTTTTTTGAATATCTTAACCCACAGGTCCCAAAACGCAAGCGTGGTTCCGTGGGCAAACGTGGTCGACCGGCAGCTCCTCCGTCAGCTGGACGAAGGGGCAGAGGGCGGGGAGCAGCTTCACGAAAGCGCAAGGATTCCGATAGCGAAGAGGATGATGCATCCGAGGATGAAGAGGAGGAGGAGGTCTCGGAGTTTGGCAGCGATCAAAGCGAGGTAAGCTAGCGAAACAGAATAAATCATAAGGTTGTTATAAACTATTTATCCGCCCTTTAGGAGGAACGTCCCAAAAAGAGTAAGAAACTCACTACGCCTGCGAAAAATAGCAAAGCTAACAACAAGTCAAAGCCAGCTGGAAAAGGTATGATCGGAAAACAATGTCCAAAATCCATTTAAACTTCATTAGTTAAATCCATAGCAGATAGTCGATCGAAAAAATCAAAGAAAGAATCGTCCGAAGAAGAGGATGATGTCGATGACAAAGATGAATCCGACGAGGACGAGCCACTAACCAAAAAGGGCAAACTGGCATTCCCAACGGTTTGTAGTCAGCACTTAATATCTAGATTATAGGTGCCTAATCAATTGCATTTACAGGATGAACAAATACGCGGCTATGTCAAAGAGATCTTGGATAAAGCCAATCTCGAGGAGATTACCATGAAAACAGTGTGCAAGCAGGTGTATGCGAAATATCCAGACTATGATCTAACAGACAAGAAAGATTTCATCAAGGCCACAGTCAAAGCGGTAAGTCAATAATCTATATTTAAATGCATCTAAACAATCGATGACAATATCGATAATTTCGATAATGTGTATAGATCTTTCGATTGTGTCCTAAGTCTTTTGTTTGTTTTAATTTTTATTGGAAATGATTTTTTTTTATCAGTGTTTCTTTATTTTTTTTAACTACGGTTATTTTTAAATTTCTTTATAATATATATTAACTTATGCCCAAAAATATTCAATACTACCACTATTGGTAGTTTTGCAGCACTAATATGTATTGTACTTAATTAACAACCTCAATTTTCCTCTTTTTCAGTTAATTGCGACATAAAACTAAGTAGCGAAGAGTGCACTTTGAAGACGGGGGAGGGTCCAGGTCCTGTAGACAAACAAAATAAAACAAACCGCGACATCAAAGTCTGCAAGTTGTTTGCCAAGACAGAACAACGTTTGGCATAGTTTGCGAAAAGTAACTCTTAGCAGTTGTCCTATAAGTATATGATTTGTAATCCTATCCTAAAAGCTATCTGCAGTTTACCTTAATTCTAAAGTCAGCGGCAGTAGACTATCCATTCTTATATATATTCATGTGTATATATAACTTTTTATTTGTCCAACCGCACGCACGCATACACATTATTTTCTATTTTCTTGAAAGTATGTGCTCTCGACAGCCCTGCAGAAAGTGTGTAAATTAAGAAAAACAACAGAGAAACTTGTAAAAATCCGATAAAAGAACTAAACTGTAGTGCATTTTGATTTGACGTTCAACAAGAAATTATGTATTTAAAGTTAAGGCACGAGAAATAATAAACAAAAAAGGCAAAATTAAAAATTTACAAAGGCTTGGAATATATACTTAAAATTCAAACACTGGCAGCAGTACAAAAACACACACACACGAGAATGGAAAAACAATTTAACTTTAATTGATTGCAAGCGTTTTTGGCAATGAAAAAATAAAAGTGTCTTTTGGGCGAGTTATTTTAAGGCACACTAAAGCGGAGCTAGTGGTGACCAGCGTATGTTCCCGATTTATAATTTATTACCCGATCTGATAATCCCATCCCCTCACTCCTGATCAACTAAATGCTCGATTCACGGTTGATTGAGGATTGGAAGGTTTCTCAGCTAATAAACGCAAGACAAGCTCACAACAAAATGTGAGTAAAAATACACAAACACAAGAATGAATAACGGAATGAGAAAAAATAATAAAGTTAAATATTAGATATTTACAAGGTAAAAATAGATGTATGTTAATTTTAAACGAGAGAAAGGAATAGAAAAGAAAACGGTATGAAGAGAACAAATTTAATTGCCAGCAAAATCAGTTTGAATATTATCACAGCCGCATCTCAATGTAAGTTTCCTTGTAGTAAACTCGTAAATAAATATCAAAACAAAACAAAAAACTCGATGTACGTTGAATTAAAATCTAAAAATCTATTTTGTGTTTTTTCTCGGGATGGATTAAAACACCTGTGCTGTAAAATTTAATACTGGGATTATTGAAAATCCTTAATTTCGGCCCCCCACATTAATAACCAAAATTTATTATAATATTTAAATTTATTCGCGCGCATGCTGGGCATCTAAGTGTTGTAAAGGGCGCGATCGGCGATCCATTCCTAGGATATTATTTTGAGATATTTCGTGCAGCCCATTATTCCTCGAAAAACAAACAAACGTGAAACAATAATTTTAATACAGATAGAGATAAAATACCTGGTGGACTCAGAATAGTAATAAACAAACAGCGCGTTGAAATTTTTTCTTAATAACGAGCTGGACATGAACATGGAAGGTTTACGAAAATTTTTATCTTTTCCTGATATTTGGAAAAGTATTTTTTTTAACAATGGCTTCCTGTATGTACGATATTGTTTGTTTTATGAATTTCATTAAAGCAATGAAAAAAAGTGTAGAACAAACACCAAAGGATCAAAAATTCATAAATTGTGAAGATAAAAGTATATTACTTTTTCAAAAGAGCCACAGTCATGAAACCCAAATGACTACTTTTCTTGGTCGCACTGGACTTTGGGTCGAACTCGTGTTTGTAAAAAGAAAGACTGTTTTTATTAAATAGGGAAATTTATTTTGAAAATTTAAATATTCAATAACGATGACATATAAAAACCAGTTTACTTATAATGCACTTAATTGAATTCAAGCGATTTAATATAAGTTGAAAATTAAACTAGTTTCTTTCATGGTATTGACCGGGTTGATATTGGAATCTATCACGCAGACATAAGGCTGAAACACACAGATAGTCAGTTATGATTCAGTTCATTGGTAAAAATAAATAAAGCATCATGGTTAATATATAATATATATAAAAAAAATTGAAAGAAAAAACATTTGCGACAATTTCGAGACAAAAATACATATATCAATGAGAATGTGGATAATACAGGGGGAAGAATGAACTTTTCTCTCAATTGGTCCTGCAAATAGATCAAAGCACGTAATTTAAATCAAATAAATGGAAATGTATGCAGAAATATAAATTTTCAAAAATATCATTTGATTGCAAAAATAAACGGCTTGACATTGGACCCAAAAGAAATGCTCAACGGAATGGGTTTTTGAATGTATAGTACTACTAATAATATATGGTTGGGTCATACTTACCTTGATTCATAAGGCCACGAACACCTTGAAACCCTTGCTGAAATGAAAAGAAGAAAAGCGACTTCCCGCAACCACTTAAAATTGAGCTATGCTGCTTCAAACTGCCAAAGTATAAAAAATGAGTTGGGCTTTGGATAGCTTGCTAATACTAGACCTGAGTAACTGTTAAGATACCAATTATAGAACACGAAATCGAATAATATAAATATAGAACAGGCTTGGGAGCCAATGTAAAACCGCTTATATAGCAAGCAAATGATACCTTCAAACGATATTTTAAAAATATACAGCACAGAATTAATCAGTAGAGCACTGTTCGGGAAATTAAATATCGTTGCAGTCGCTAGGAAAATATTTAGAAATATATATATATATATGTCAATTTCAGAGAATAGTATATAGAATATATTCAGGATAATCAATTATGAGTATAATATATGTGCAGTTTGATATAAAAATGTTACTCCAATATGATTCAAAAGCATACCGACTGTGGCAGTCAACTGATTGGGAAAAGTTACAAGCCCGTCCCGATCCCCAAGATCTGTTCCACGACCAAGGCCCAGAACCTCTGAAAATACGCTCAATAAACGATTTTCAAATATGGCAATAAACAATCAGCTGGCAAAATATATCAAGTAGGATCGATACGGTCGAGGTCCCGACAGTGAGATACCTGCTACTTCTTTGTGTGATGTTATATTTGTTATACAGGATTTGATTTTTGTAATATCATGTTTAAAAAACTTCACCTTCATAGACACCAAATTAAAAGTCAGACAGAACTGGATTTAAAAACTGATCGCAAATAGATATATATAACAGTAGTTTAAATGTGGTACTCAAAAAGAAAACCCTTACCCACAACCAAATCCTGAACACCCACTGAATAAAAGTAACAGGTATAAATATAATCAATAGAAACGCAATAGGGCACATAGCATCGTAGTGCTATATGCTGGCAGTATGTATATGGATATATAGTATACGGTATATTAAATGTTTATTCAATGCTTGCCGACTGCAGGACGGATCAAGATCTGGATCGGAGTCCCGATCTGAGCCTGCCTAGCCGAACAACGGTTACAATATGGTTCATCTGCTGACGCAACAATCAGATATTTTTGGGGAGACGTAAAACTTAGTTTAGATTATATGTCAAAGTTATGTTTATAAATTATGGTAGACCTACATTCATTTGGGTATGTTTTCATTGTTTGATTTGCAATATGTATAATTGAATAGACAGTAATAACAACACACGATCTTACCAAGTTTGACACTTTTATAATATGTGGTTTGTATTTCTTCAAGTTTTTTATTTGTTTGTTTGTGTGAAAAAGTTTTGGGGTTTGATTTCTGTTATGAACTGGTCTGAAGAGCGGCCTCTGAAAGTACATACTTTATGTTTGCATCTGGTAATAACGACATTAACACAGGTATGATTATCCTGCTCATAAATAAGTTCTTTAAAGGTAAATATTAAAAATATATTTTTACCAAGTTTATGATTGAAAATATACAAGTATAGAATAGGGAAATAGTTTTTAAATCAATTCAGTGCTTACTGCTACGAAAATGATATCATGGGTTCTCCACAACTGAAAGGTGAAAATATTGTTATGCAAAATGTCAGATCAGTTAACAAGATTAACCTTTAAACCAGGCGCTCAATTTTCAAAACTGTTATATACGGTTCGATTAAATATTTTAAATCTTACCAGATCAGCAGACACAGATGATGATGTGCACGTGTCTGTCATCTCTTGTTCAAATGATATTTATTATAACTATGCTAAGCTAAGTACGTGAAAATGGGCTCCTGTATAAAAAACTTCGTTATCTTGTTGTAAATGTTATATATACGTATTGGAACTAACTAGAGCTGCAAAACTACCGATTGGTACTAACGATAATTAGAATTATTACGCGTAGCTTACTATCAATTTTACTATCGATAGTATCAAGTAAGGGTTATGAATTTATCGATAGTTTTGCAGTACTACTACTAACGATATAGCATTTCATATTGCATTTGAGAATTTTCACGAAGGTTGTCTTTCAATAGTAAAACACCCGCTGAATTGACGGTGAAAGAAATTATATATGCGAGAGATATATATGCAGATGTCAAAAAAAGAACAAAACACCCAAAACGGATTCAATTGGCTTATCTTAGTGTGTCGATGCAATTGGTGATCATGAACAGCAAGAGCATTATCTTTCGTTCGATTGCGTTTATGAATAGATATATAGATAGACTTAGGTTCTCGGGGAAATCGCTTAAGAACTATTGGGGAAGTTATAGGCATTATCCAAATAATAGACTGTGTTAATCATATTAATTTACATTTATGCAAAAGTGTGACGCCACAAGCTAAACGTTTAATGTTTCACTCTCCAATTGATTAGCTGATAGATCGATCCGGTTCCTCCTCTCACCACAGACCGCCGTCTCCATTCTGCCGTGTGTTGTCTATCTGGTGATGTTTCTGCTTCTGCTTTTGCTGCTGTTATTGCAATTAAAAATCATTTGCTTTTGTTCTGTTCTGATTTGCTAGTTTTGTGGGGGATAAAAGACATAGGACATAGTAGAACAATAGATCACTGCAAAGAGTTTTACGCATGGTAAACAAGATTTGGTTAGGATATCACACGTCATGTAAAACATGGGTCAGATTATTTTCCAAATGAGCCTACGAAATTCAATTTTGGATGGCACAAATAAAAATGAAATTACAATACAAATCACAACAGATGATTATCATTGACTATAAAACCCTCTTAGAAAAAACAATAAAATCCAAAATGAAAATTTCTATATGCTTAGATGGAAATCTCTGACCCAAAAATATTATTATATAAGAAATGGTATATAAAGTAGAGAATTTATACATAAAAATAGGCAAGCATTTGGTAGGCATATGGGTAAAGCAAAAATACGTAAAGCAAAATTCAAAGGCAATTCAATTCAAGTGGACTCATTAACACACTCCATTATCAACTACTGTTTATAAGTTTACAACTCACCCCATGCAAGGCACCTGCACCGTCCGCCGAACGCAGCATTTTCCACTTTGGCGTCCGCTTCCAGTCCCACATACATCTCCTCCCCACTCCCGCCGTTCCCGATCCCTCCGAGCGTCCTCAGTGTTTGTCGTTCTTGTGCGATTTCTGCTGTTGCTGGCCCGGCGCACCGGGATAACCGCCGTAGCCAGCGCCGGGATAACCGCCTGGATAGCCGCCAGGCGGTCCACCGCCCTGCCCTCCGCCACCGGGCTGAGGTGCTCCCTGCGGCTGGCCACCAGCTGCAGCCGCCGCCGCATAATACTGCGAGTACTGGGCGTACTGGCTAGGCGTCATGCTCTGTCCATATCCTCCGGCCGCCGCTGCAGCAGCCGCGGCAGCTGCTGCCGCCGCAGCGGGATTCGGCTGCTGGCCGGGATTGGGTCCACCCTGGCTGGGATTGGGCGCATTGTTCTGGCCACCCGGTGCTCCATTCTGTGGCTGCTAGGACAATGGAATTAATAAGTAAGCTTAAAGCGAAGGGTATCTATATAAACAAACTTTGTTCTTTAACGTTTTTTCGATGGCTTCGGCTTCTTCGATCTTGCCCACACTGCGGTAGTACTCCGCCCACTGGGCACTGTAGTCGGCTCCACCGGCACCGCCGCCGCCTCCTTGCTGCTGTTGCGACTGCTGCTGTGCCTGCTGCTGTTGCGGCTGCTGCTGCGGTTGTTGCGGCTGCCCAGGACCTGAGGAGCCGCCCGCCTGCTTGGCCTTCATTTGCTGCTCGATCATTTCAGCCTCGCGATGGCATCCCATTTGTCTGAAGGGGATAGAAAAAGGTTAATACAACCATCTAATTGTGACAATACTTAACCATATTAAATAATGGTTGTGCTATATGCATTGTTGCCAGTTTAGCATATCTTAGGCTAGATCTAGCATATTAAAAAATTGAATAATGAAACAGTTTCTAAAAAAAAGCACATTCAATGGAAGCAAGGATAGTCGGCAGAATTCAGTCATGTTTCAGTTTTTATGTTTGATAAATATAATCCGCACTTGTATCTGTTTCATTTAAACAGATTTCTTTAAAGGTTAACAATTATATTTGGAAATAATATTATATATTTGGAAACAGCTCGTTATTCAGCATTTATTTTTAAAGTTTACCCTATTTTAATTCAGAATCAAACTTTTATGAGAACTGAACACCTGGCAACACTAGCTGTATTTTTCATTTAACCTAAGTCTTTCTGCTCATGCTATCACTTACTTGTAGTACTCTATCCACTGTGTAGAGTAGTCCTGCCCACCAGCTGCTCCTCCCGCTGCAGCGGCTCCTCCTTGATTGGCTGCCATGGCCATTTGCTGTTGCTGCTGCTGTCCGGACGGATCCCATCCCTGCTGGCCATAGGGTCCGCCCCACTGCTGCTGCTGCTGGTAGGCTCCGCCGGAGTTGGGATCACCGCCCTGCATTTGATTGGGGCCACCGTAGCCGCCCTGCTGCTGGTTGTGGTGCGAGTTATTCTGGCCACCGCCTCCGCCACCACCTCCTCCGCCGCCGCCTCCTCCACCGCCGATGGGCTTGCGGGAAATGACATTCAGTTCCATGTTTATCTTCTCGGAGATCATTTGGCGGGCTGCCTCCACCTGGTCGGTGGTGCCCTTGGACTTGAAGAGCTTCTCATTGGGCGGATTGCTGGCATTGCGATCCATTTCGGTGTGGGCTCCAGATTGCTGGTTGATCAGCTTGATGGTCTCGCCACCTCGACCAATTACAATCTGCCGGGAAAGGTTTGAATTTAGAGAGCTTTGTACTGTAGAGACCTCGTCTGTGAACCTACTCCACACTTGGAAGCGGGTACTAGGAATGTGATCTCCTCCCGTCCGCCTTGGGCGTGATTAACGCCGTATCCATAGCCGTAGTTGGAGTTTCCGGAGTCACCTCCTCCTTGGCCAACGCCGCCTCCTCCATTTCCATTTCGATTCATGCCGTTGCGTTGCTATAAGACAACAAGTTTAAGGTAACGAACTAATTAGAATCTTTAAATGTTTGTAAATATGTCTGAATGTAAAGCGGTGATTGTTAGAAAGCCAACACTAAACTTTGTGAACTAAAGTAATTTAATTAAAAAGTTGTTTAATATTTTATGTATGCCATTTTCGATGGTTTCAATTTGATACTTTTATATGGTTGCATTAATTATTTTATATGATTGCAAAAATTTGTTTATATATTTGCATTGATTTCTAATTATGATTGCATTGCTTTCTTAATATAATTGCATTGTTTTCCTTTTCGCTTTTGATTAGATCGCCGCATTGATCTCTGAATGAAAGGCGGTGATGGTTAAAAGTGAGTTGATGAAACTAAAGTGACTTGACTATGAATTATGTTTAATATTTTTAAACCGAAATTTAGACAACACAAAGGTCTTGTTTTTTTTTCTTTTTAGACTTGACCAGGTCTCCGCATTTATATTTAAATTCCACACAAACAAATGAATTTGGGGAATATTTGACAAACCTTGAACTCCCCGACTTACCATCACGTTCTCAATCAGCCCATCGATGGTGCGCTTGGCATCCTCGACCTGCTGCCGAGTGCCCTGGATGACGCACCTCCGGTCGCCCATCTCGTCGTTTTTACCCTGGATAAACTGCAGCTTGCAGCCGCACTCGGTTTGGATCTTACGGATCATGTCGCCGCCCTTGCCAATGACCACGCCCACCGCGATCTTGGGCACAAAGACCTCGACGCTCTCGCCACCGTTGCCGTTGTTAAAGTTATTGAATCCCATGCCAGGGCCACCGCCGCCACCTCCTCCGCCGCCGCCTCCACCGCCTCGACCGCCCTGCTGCTGAGCCTGGGCATCCTTCTGGGCAATCAGGTCGAGCACCATCTGCTTGGCGTGCTCTATCTTCTGCGCCTCGCCGGAAATGCGCAGCGGCTTGATCAGCTCCTGGTTGGGCCCGTCCTGGATGATGATCATCTTGGCGCCGGTCTTCTCCTGCAGCTGTTTAATGGTGTCGCCGCCCTTGCCAATGACCAGGCCCACTTTGGCGCCCGGGATCATGATCTCCTGATAGGGAGGATAGCCGCTGGGTCCTGGTGGCGGCATATTAATGGTTAGGAGAACCTCCACCTGTCCGCCGCCGGCCCGATTGGCCATGTTCTGGATCATCTCGCGACCCTTGGTTACGGTATCTCGCTGGCCACGCAGCATGATGACGCGATCCTGATCCTGCATGACCTGCACCTTGACACCGGACTCCGCCTGGATGTGGGTGATGGTGTCATTGCTGGCGCGGCCCATGAAGGCACCGGCCACGGAGTCGGGCAGTCGGATCTGCTCCTCGCAGCTGGTTCCTGCGGAGGCGGCCAGTCGAGCAGCCACTGCCGCCGCTTGGGCAATGGCCTGGGTAATGCTGGCTCCACCTTGGCCACCGCCTCCTCCTCCTCCGCCGCCTCCTCCACTGCCGCTGCTCATGTTGGAGCTGTTGTTGCCGTACTCGGGACTTCCGAAGGAGCGCTTGCAGTCGGGACCGCTGTCGCCGTCGTCGTTGTGCCGCTTGAAACTGGGTGCTCCTCCTCCGCCGCCACCGACCCCTGGAGGGGATGGACCCACAGGAGCGCCGCCGCCCTGCTGGCTCGGTTGGATCTTGGCCGCAATCTGCATGGATTGCACGGATAAATAATGAACATCGATATACACACCGCTTCCTCTTCCGCTTCCGGAACTCACCTGCTTGGCACGCTGGATTGCCTGCGCGAGGGCCTGCGATTGACTAATGCTCGCCTGCTGCGTCTGGAACTCGCTCATCTCGGATTGTCCTACAAGATATATAATACGGATCCTTTGCCGGATTACACTTTTTTTTCGTTTCTAATGAGCTCCGCACGAGTTGAAAATTCAATAGCCGAAAAGGGGAGAGTTTTTCACACAAAGCCCGCTGTGTGAGTTTTTACGTCTTTTTCCGGCTTTCTCACAGCTATTTGAAATTGTTATTGAAACGCCTGCGTTGCTTACTTGTTTGGCTGCCGATTTTCGCACTTATTTAACACGTTTTCTGCACTTTCCTTTCGGCTTTGCGGTGAAAATTATGCGTCTGCAAAAAAATTGTGTAGCATTATACGGATTTGGTGGCGTTTTTTTCGACCCCTGGATTTTCAAGGCATTCGGTGAACGGTAACATTGCGCATTGTGAGGGATTTACCAGGGATAATGTAAAATACTGTTGTATTTATTTTTACAATACATTTTCAAATTCAACTACATTAATATCTATACTCCTCTTAAGCCTCGAATATTTAAGTGGGATTTGATTTAAATTTAAAAAAAGGCCCATTAATGGGGAATGCTCCCAATGTAACTATCGATGGTTCCAAAAACATCGATTACTCGATAGTGTGATCGATGTTTTTCCACCACTAGTTCTTCTTTCGTCGGCAACGTTGTGCAGAGCACGGCTACAGATTTGTTAAACGCGAATTTACCCCACAAAAACGCATTTAAAATGGCTTTCGGTGATGTGAAGACCCCGCAGGGACTGAAGGAGTTGAACAACTTCCTGGCCGACAACAGCTACATCAGCGGGTGAGTTGCTGCACGCGGCGGGAAAGTGAGGTTAAGTCCACCCACACCACGTCGGCAAATGAGAAGATTTCACCAATTTGCATAGACTAATTGCAATTACTTTTCAATTCCTTTTAGATACACTCCCAGCAAAGCCGATCTGTCCGTGTTCGAGGCTCTGGGCAAGGCCCCCGCCGCCGACAATGTGAATGTGGCCCGTTGGTACCGTCACATCGCCTCCTTCGAGGCCGCGGAGCGCGCCGCCTGGACTGGAGCTCCTCTGCCCCAGTTGGCCGGTGGAAAGCCCACCGTGGCCGCTGCTCCTGCCAAGCCAGCCGCCGCCGACGATGACGACGATGTCGATCTATTCGGATCCGATGACGAGGAGGACGCAGAGGCCGAGCGCATCAAGCAGGAGCGCGTCGCCGCCTACGCCGCCAAAAAGTCCAAGAAGCCCGCCCTTATTGCCAAGTCGTCGGTGCTCCTGGACGTCAAGCCCTGGGACGACGAGACAGACATGAAGGAGATGGAGAACCATGTCCGCACCATCGAGATGGACGGTCTGCTGTGGGGCGCCTCCAAGCTCGTGCCAGTCGGCTATGGCATCAACAAGCTTCAGATCATGTGCGTCATCGAGGACGACAAGGTCTCCATCGATCTGCTGCAGGAGAAGATCGAGGAGTTCGAGGACTTCGTGCAGTCCGTCGACATTGCTGCCTTCAACAAGATCTAAGCACTGAGATTCATATATTTTCAATAAACATGAGCAAAGCGAAGTAACTAAAAATTGGAGGTACCTTTATTTACTTTTATAATATTATCCAACTTAAAGCGTTAGAAGTGAAATTGTAGTTTATGTTCCAGCTATGTTGGGTTCATGTCTTAAAAACCCTATCGTTAGGACATCATAAACAGTTAAAGTTGAAGCCTAAAAAAATACATTTAAAACAGAATTTCTGGATTAGAATTAAAAATTGTAATCAGTTAAAATTCAAGCCAAAGAATACTTGTATATTTAAGTACAGAACCATTTCTTGTTAGAGTTTGGCTTTTATTGGTCCAGCTATACAATTTGTTGCAAAGTGTTATTAAAGCAGCACTCAGTACAATAACAGCTGACACCTTAAAGTATGCTTTTAAAATGAAACCAAAGTATATTATCATATATATCTCTTAGGTTAATAATACCACTCTCTCGAGTTCTCAGCTTGAGTCTTTTGTTTGGGGAGCTTTTGGGTGAGCTTTTGTCAACAAAAAAGCGAGGCTCGTAGCATTCCCAGCTCAGTTGATCGCGTAGCTCGATAGATTTCGGTTTTATACACCTCTAGAGAATACTGTTTAGAGGTTTTTTAAATTGCAGTTTTAAACAAATCTTTTTCGGACAAAAGTACCGCTTAAAATGGCCAACAAATTGTGCTGCACATTGGCCATTGGCGCTCTATTGTGCCTGGGATTCGCTGCTCTTATTCAAGCCCAGGGTGAGTCAAATAAATCAAATATAATAAATAAATATATAGGCGAGAGCATTTCCGTTCTTGTTATTGTTCTCGAGACGAATTTGTTACGCATTTGCTGAGATTTGCTTTTAACTCGAAACACAAATACCTGATCGTCTGCATTCATTAACATTAATTATCAATTGTATAGATATTTGTTTCTTTTGTTCTGCGGGAAGACATGTTTCGTTCTTAAACGTATTTCCCAGAAACATTTATCCATCATGTTTGTCAGCATTTGCATACAACAAGTATCTGGAAGTTGACAAACGTCCATTATTGCTCCGGGGTTTTGGATCGGTTTCAGATTCAATAATCGAACATCTATCATTTGATACACGGGCCGTTGAATGCTTTGGTTTTTTAATAACTTAACATTGCCATTGAAATTACTTCCGATTTGTAAATACGCATTACATTAAGCGGAAGTTAATTGGTAGTATATTTATAAAATTATGTATTAATCATGGGCAGTAAATATTACGATTTCTGTTTAATAAAATAATTGTTTAAATGGGTAATTAACACAAAGTGTTTGAAAAAAGGATGTAGTTTTAATAAACAAAATTCCCCGATTCCGGAATTAAATTTTTTAGTGCAATTTAGTACTCTATTGTTTAGCCCGATGAACATCCCACCTTCGTGACAATTTGTTATGACGACGTCGGATCGTAAGCATTATCTCTGCCTGCGTGTGTGTTATCTCAGGGCAAGAAAAACCCATTAAAAGATGTTTATATATAAAGTAGAATCTGCTATAAGCATTTTAAAGTTTAAATGTTATAATTTTAAATAACACAAATTTATTTTCGTTTGTTATTTTGGCAGCGTGATAAACCATTTTTAATCTTGACCCAATTTTGGAGCCTTTCAAGATTGTTTTGCATAGGTCAGTGAACTCAGAAACCTCTAGATTTGCGCGTGTGGGTGAGGCAGAAGGCTAGAAGACATGCTGTGCTTGATTGCCAGCCAATCTTCTCCACTTTGCAAATTGCCAATACCAATACTCGTTAAAAATACAAAATTTAATTACAAGAACAAGGTCTTGATAACGCCGATTTATTGACTCATCCCCGCCTACGGGCTGCCGGATTTGTTCTACGGAGATGCTTCAATGTTGCCATTGAAAGTTGCAAAACTAGTTCGGTAAAAAATGAGATGGGGACGTGAGGCTGACAGATTCAACAGAGGGTATTATATTTTCAGGTTCATGGGCGTGCAGCCAGTGGAATTTTTTTTTGTTCCTTGAATATAATTTATTATAATAAAAAATTTTTTGAAATTTTATGAGCCAGCTTACTCGGAATGAATTTTATATTGATTATATACAGATTATAGTAGGAAACTGAGGTTAATACTTGAAAATTATTAAAAAGTATACTTAATTTAAATTTTGAAAATATTTTGTTGGTCTCATCACTTTATATTTAGCAATAACCTCTTAATTTTTCTCTGTGTACTGCTGGAATTCCAAAGATATTAAATTTTTATAATTCTTAAAAATCAAAACATTACCGAATGCTCTGAATAAAGCGATGACATGATCTGGGCAAAAATGTGTGACACAATTCAAGTTTTGCTCTGGCAATATTTACGCTTGCTAATCAGCAAAGCTGAACTGAACTGATTCGATTTGAATGATCTTTTACCCCCAAACAGATAAGCCGGTGACTGATGTGTGCCTGGGCTGCATCTGCGAGGCCATCAGTGGATGCAATCAGACCCGTTACTGCGGCGGCGGAGTATGTGGCCTGTTTCGCATTACCTGGGCCTACTGGTCCGACGGCGGCAAGCTGACCTTGGGCAACGAGAGTCCCCAGGCGGAGGATGGTAAAATCCTTTCTCTTCTTCTTTATACATATTTCATATATCTTATGAACATTTTATCTGCCACACAGCATATGCCAACTGCGTGAACGATCCGTACTGTGCGGCCAACACGATCCAGAATTACATGACCAAGTTCGGACAGGATTGCAATGGTGATAATGCCATCGACTGCTATGATTTTGCGGCCATCCACAAGTTGGGCGGATACGGGTGCAAGGGCGAGCTGAGCTATCAGTACCAGACGCAGCTGACCAACTGCCTCAACTCGTTCCAGAACATCGACGTTCGCATCAGCAAGTAATCCCATTATCTTGCTAAACTTATGTTTTAATTAAATTTTAATAATGTAATAATTAATAATTTATGGCAATGCATTTGAATTCGAAGAAGATTGATAATAAATGACAATACGACAAGCGAATAAATATAAATCATTGCTTTCAATAAAGTTTTTAGTACTGGCATCTCACATATTTATTAACAAAGTTTTATAACCATTAAATTGGTTGATCAACGTTAGATAATATATACTTGACACCTTAAATTTACATAGTTTTCAAAACTATGTTTATAGGCAGGATTTGAAATGGACTAAATTTTATGAAAAATTACGTTAATAAAAGGAAATTTTACCTATTTTGAGTGTGTCGTTTTATTGTTTTGTAAAGTTTTGCACAGTGCATAAAAAATTCAGCCAGCCTCTTTAACATGCTATAACATATTTTTACTCTAAAACGTTGCATACTTTTTGCTGTTACTTTATAGAAATACAAGTCTATTAATAAAAAACCAATTGTTTCTAAATATTATGCTTGCTAATTATACGTTTATATTTATGGTAAAATTTTTTTAAAATTATTTAAGGTAAAGAAAAAAAATAGGTTGCACACTAAATGTATTAAATTTTTTCTTGGAATGTAAAGGGCTATATGATCTGAGGGCTTTAATCTTAACAGCTTATACTACTTATAAGAACCATAATTTATGGTGATTTATTTGAACTGATAAAATGAAAGTCTTTCAGTTTACGGCTTCTGATTTAAAACTTTAGTTGAGCAATAAGTGGTAGCAGCCGCTATCGGATGCGCCCTAGAAACCGGTATTGCCCGCTAGTTTGACGGATTTACCGGGCAAGTACCCAGTTCATTGGATTCGCCAGCACCATTCGGAGGTTTATATGCAGAGGTGTTGGATGCAATTGTTTTAACAAGCGGAAAAATGAGAGTTTTACTGGGATATTTTCTTTATATACTGCTGACACTGTGGCCTTCGTTGGTGCAAGGTCAAGGTGAGTTTTCCAAAAATATTTGAAGAACAAGTATATGTATAAACAAATTGTATTCACAGGTCATGTGTTGGACAAACCCGTGACAGAACTTTGCCTCACCTGTATTTGCGAGGCCATCAGCGGCTGCAATGCCACGGCGATTTGCACCAGTCCGGAAAAGGGCACCTGCGGCATTTTCCGCATCACCTGGGCCTACTGGGTGGATGCTGGAAAACTGACTGTCAATGGAGAGCATCCCGACTCAGAAAGGGCCTTCGTCAACTGTGCCAATGATCCGCACTGTGCCGCTGATTTGGTGCAGAATTACATGAAGAAGTTCAGTCAGGACTGCAATGATGATGGCGAGATGGATTGCCACGATTATGCCCGAATTCATAAAATGGGGGCTTATGGCTGCCAAGTGGACCCACCTTACAAATTCCAAAGTGCTTTTGATGAGTGCATCGAAAAATACGAGCTTGAGGGATTTGAGTGACACAATTTGTTCGTTATTTTGAGTGAAAAAACTAATTTCATTTATTATTTTAAGAATTTCATTCTTTAATAAAGCCTTTGAAACAAAATCAAAATTTTTGATATGCAATATATAATAATATATGCAATAATATTTTTAAAATATTGTTATTTTTTATAAACTTTTTGAGGAAATCAAATCTATTTGAAATAAATTTCGCACATGCTAATAAACTAAGATTTTTATGGAAAATAAATAACGACCGGGAATCACTCCTAATTGAAAACTAGACTATTGTCTATTTCCTATTACTGCCATTAGTCACTTTTGATAGAGCTAATTCTCAGCGCAGTGTTTAATAAAAATCAGTAGTCGTTGCTGAAATCGTTTCAGTGGCTGATCAATCGCGGAACGCATCGAATCGGAAGTGAATACATATCTCGCAGCTAAGCAATGCATTGTAGACATATTTTATTTTTGTTTGTTGGCCTAACAATTGGCGGGAAATGGGTGGCAGCTGAGAAAGCGAAACCCATTACAGAAACTTGTCTGGTTTGCATGTGTGAGGCTTTGAGTGGGTGCAATGCCACCGCTGTGTGTGTGAATGGGGCATGCGGCATCTTCAGGATCACCTGGGATCAGTGGGTGGATTCGGGAAGGTTGACAATAGAAGGCGATTCGCCCTTGACGGATAGCTGTAAGAACTGAGCGGCTAACCATTAGATAGTTTAATCCTTACTTATTTATTATCCTTCAGCTTTTACCAACTGCGCCAACGATCCTTATTGTGCAGCGGACACTTTGCAGAGCTATATGGTCAAGTACGGACAAGATTGTAACAATGATGAGAGGGAGGACTGCTACGATTATGGAGCCATTCACTATATGGGTCCTTTCAATTGCAAAGCGGATATGCCCTTTACCTACGGCAATATTTTCAATCGCTGTTTGAGAAGCGCTATTCGGGATGGAAAGCCTCAGAAATCAAACTAAAACCCCTTACCTAGTAAATAGTAACGAACTTATGAGGAAGAGTCGTCGTAATTTATGTGCGAAAATTGCATTGCTAATATAGGCTTTTATTTTGATTAATAAACAAGTGGCTTTCAGCCAAGTAAGATCAGTTTTGTGGTCAACACGGCGGCAACAGGTCGGGTTCTCTATTCTCGATCGGAATCAAAGCTCAGATATGCTTCGATTAATCGTCGGCTTGACTTGTTTGTGGCTACTGGTGCACAGTGGGTCCAACCAAGTGGGTATGTGCTTCTCATCTCCAAAAGCTAGATATAAGCGAAATTTTTATTGTAAAAACCACTGTGCTATGTGAGGCTTAAAACGCAGTAGAGAGTGCTCTATAATTATGGTAATCCATTTGCGCCCGCAGTATACTTGTAGTGAACTAAAGCCAGTTTGTCGGAATGGCTTTATACTATAAAGCCGGCAGTTACATCCGCCAATTTCCACTTTTCCCGCACACTGACTGAGTTAAGAAAGCGCAGTTGAAATACAAAATATAATTTTTAATTTCAAAATCTATTTATTTTTCCAAAAGTAAAGCCAATAACCATGCTAAATTATCAGTACTTAGTAACATAAGGAAGTTGGCCTAAGACCAAAAACCAGGCTAAATACTTATAATTTGTAAATACTTCAGAAGACAAGTTTTTTATTGCCACTAGCTTAAATCTGATAAAACTTAAAATTTCAAATAAATCTAATTTTTTGGAGAAACAAACCCTTGAAGGAAGATTACCTAAAACCAAAAACCAGGCCTATACAAGATTCTTGATTTGATATATTGATATATATTTATATTAACAAATAATTATAAACCTCAAAAGATTTTCATTTTTTGATGAATCTAAATAACTTTAGAAAATTAAGAACTAACCAACTAATTCTCCTATTATGTTAAATTTTTTGTTGCTGTGCATTTAGTGGAAAACAAACCGGTCACGGAAGATTGCCTGGACTGTCTGTGCGAAACAATGAGTGGCTGCAATGCATCCGCAATTTGTGTGAATGGGGCCTGCGGAATATTCCGGATTACCTGGGGATACTGGGTGGAGGCGGGAAAACTTACTCTGCCAACCGATTCAGCGCTTTCCGATGATGGTAGGTTTGTATATTTTCTGTCCAATTGTTTATCCCAGTAAAAAATCCATCATTCAGCCTTCACCAACTGCGTGAATGAGCCCCACTGCGCAGCCAACACGGTCCAGAACTATATGTTTAAGCACGGACAGGATTGCAATGGAGATGATCACATCGATTGCCTGGACTTCGGAGCCCTCCACAAGTTGGGCAATCTTCAGTGTCGCGGAGAGCTGCCCAATCTCTTCGGAAAGGTATTCAACCAATGCCTGAAAGCCAAGAAACGTTTGGCAGAAAAGAAAATTATCCAAGCAAAAGAAACGGCGGCTTCAACATAATTGATTGTTTATTTAATTTCTTCGCCGCTTTTTTTTCACGGATATATCTTTTTCTGTTTTTAAAACAATCCTGGTAACACATATACACATACATCGAAACATTGCTTATGTTTGCCGCTTGAACAGTTTCCAATATTGGTATGGAATCTATAGATTTATTTATAGATACATATATATATATATATACATATATATTAGAGGGGTATATGAAAACTACTTTAATATTCTCTCGTCTTTTTATAATTTGTTAGTCAACATGTTAACATACTGGTAGTACATATTCAATAATATATCCGGATTTCGACTTACGTTTGCTAAAGCTTGGCTCTAACATTGGCTTGCCTTTTTGAGTGGTCATGGTTCTATATCTCGAGATGAGGTTCTCTCTATTTAAGTATATCTTGTTTAGTAGTCTAGTATTTGGAAACTTGAAAGTAAAAAGGTCTAGTACGGATATTTCTATCAGAATCTGTTCAAATTGAAATCGTTTCAACAACCTTTAAATTGGTAATGGGGCAGATGTGCTGAGACTGAGACTGAGGCAATGTCGAACGAAAAGCAGCCATATCGTCTTACTCTTATCATATCTCTAGACTCTGAAGAGTTATGAAAGTGGTCAGTTACACAAAAGAAATAAAAGATTTAGATTAATACATAAATATGAAATTAAAGCTAAGAAAAAGTGGATACAAATGTTGTTGCCAAAGGTTTATCATTTATACAAAGGTTTGGCATGGTTTTATTTTGCTGTTTCGGAAAGCCTTTAAAGCTATAAACTTGTAAATAATATTCGAGTTCTCATCAATAGAATATTTGATTTATAAGTTTAATTTTTAAATAAAATAAAATGTCCAAATATAAACTTTCTTATCATAAATTAAAGAAAACAATATAAACATTAAAATGAATTAAAGTACAATTTGCTGGCTTTCCATAACCATCTGTTCTTAAATCTTTGTTAAAGTGGTTAAATCAAGTATACCCTTTTTTTAAGAAAGAGAAAAAAATTATATAGAGACTTTCTACTAGATGTTAGTATTTAAAGAGTTAGATGTTGATTTGGATATTCCTTTTTCAATATTTGGCTTTGCTCTTTTTCTTTTTGGTTATAAACTTATAGAAACGATTAATGGCTAACTGACAAAATATTAATCTAAAAATACAATCAAGCTCGTTTCATGTGTGGATGTTGAGGTGTGAGAGATGGCGATCTAATTTGATCCGATCCGATCCGATCCGATCTGATATAGTAGGGGTTCGGGTACTTGGTGATGGTCTTACGGCTAGAATTGCAACTGGAAATATGCGTTTTTGCTGGCTAATTGGGTAGTGAAGTGGGGGATTTTCACTTTCACTTCTTGCTGTTTCCATCATTGGCCAACAGCAGCTCCTTGGCCTCCTTCTTCCCCCGTTTCTTCTCCTCCTTGGCATGCAGCTTGGCCAGACGCTCCTCCTCCTTGGCCAGTCGCTTCTCCTCCTGCCAAAAGGAGAAATGCAAAATGAATAACTTTGTTTGCATGCAGTGGAAATCATAAACAAGAAAATCGGAATCACAAGCGTTTTATGAGCCTCGTAAGTTTGGAAATTTATGCTTAACGGGCACAAAAGGAGAGCCCCCCCTCACTTCCCTAAGCCCTTTCGGCCGCGATTAATGAAAAACTTTTCCAAAACAGTTGGCAGAATGAAAAAAGGGGAACGAGGCCAATTACAAACAATACAAATATGCACAGCCTGGCTGAGGGGCTCGGCGGGGAAAACAATGCATCTCCAAACAAAGAGGAGCATGGGGTCTACTAAAGTCAGCTGCCATTTCACCCACCTTCCTGGCTTCCTTCTCGGCCTTCAGCTTGATCTTTTCCTCCTTCTTCTTGCGCTCAACGGACTCGTTCTTCTTATTGTCAGCCTTCTCTCCTGGAACAAAATATAGCTTCTTTTAATAATATATTATTAATAATCTAAATATATAATGTACATAGGGATAGAACTTTCTAAATTGTAGGGGTGCAATAAAATTTGCAGACTCCATTGAAGTTTTAAAAGTGCAATAACGCCAATAACGCAATTACAAAACTAAAAACTTTATTTATGGTTGATTGCATAAGAAATATATATGTTTTATCAGGAAAACATTGATAAAATAAAAATATAGAAGTTTTGAAGAACATTTAATTAAGTTTTAAACATGTTTTATACTCAAACTATGCGGAACATTAAATTATGAACACAAAAGGCACTAACAGAGAAAAGAGCAAATAATTTCAATTTGGTTTAATTTCTGTACAGCAAAATGTATAATAATTCCTATTATGTTAATCCAAATGAAAACTCACTCTGATTGCTGGCGGCGGAGAAAAGCGGAAAACTGCGACTGGAAGAGCTTGACGTGGGCTTGGGATTGCCATTGCCGGCTGGGCCGTGTCCAGATCCACTTCCTGTTGATCCCGAACTGCCGGCAGCAGCACATCCTGCAGAGGCCCTCGAGCAGCCTGCTCCCTGTGGAGTCGACTTGGAGGCAGTGCCAGTGGTTTTCCCCTGCGGAACAGAAGCTGGCAACTTCTTGTCCTTGGGCATCACGTAAGCGTTTTTGGGCAGCGAGTTCTTCGAGGTCAGCGGGCAGATCTTTGCCCCGCCCGCCTTCAAAGGGGGCGGGGCCAGTGCGGAGCAGCTCAGCTGGATGTTCATGGGACTGGGCCGACGTGACGGCGGCGGCGATCCGGACTCCCTGAGCAGCGGAGCCAGCTCGTGGGCACTGGACTTTGTATAAGTGGAGTAACTGCAAGGAATAGAGTTCCTTAATCTCTGGAAAATTCTTTAGACATGCACTGCATTACAACCTATCACGAACAGCTCAAACAACTTATGGCTAATATTTCTGGTCAGGCAAATATTACAGTCTTATTTTCAATCAATTTTAATAGCTTCTTTTAAATAATTAAGGAGTTTTGGTATTTTTAAAGTTCTTATAGGCAGGAAAGATTGTCAATAATAACGAAACAAAGTTCTCTTAAGAATACTATTAACATATAAAATTTGCCAATGATTAAACAGGCTTATACATATTTAAGAAAATCTGTCCATCAAGGACACAAATCCCATCAATGCAAAGGTTGTGCTACTTATGCCCATGATTTCAAGGGCATATAATTCCCTTTATTTGGATTAAATAGCTCATCTTTTTAATCTTTAACCATAGGTATTTGATTTGAACATTTTTCAGTAAGCTAATTTACTCGATCTGTTTTGCTGAAGAAGGAGTCAAAGAGCTCTTCAAGTAAGTGAAGTAAGTTACTAATGTGTAGGCTTTGAACTCACCGAAATCTGGGATTGCTCACATGCACGGGCGAGGGATGCGGCACCTTGGCCGGACTGCGGAACTCCTTGATGGGCGGCAGGCGGTTCTGGATGTCCATCAGTCGGTTCTTCACGTGCCTTCGACCCGGATACGTGTGCGTGGGCGTCATCATGCCGCTGGTAACGTTTCCATTACCGTTTCCGATTCCGATTCCGCCCGTTCCACTGTGGCCACTTCCGCTGGAGGAGGAAGCGGCGGATGCAGGCGTGGAGGAGCAGTTGGTTAGCACATGCAGTGGTTTCCTGGGCACGGCTCCAGAGCAGCCACTGGGACAGCCACCATGATGCGAGTGCGAGTGCGAATGCGAATGCGAGGAGGTCCCATTCTCCCTCGGCGAAA